ATGCATATTGGCAGAGGCTGACACAGAATGAATGTGACTATATATGTGTAAGTGTATATTTAAAAAACTGATATATAAAGCTGTGTAAAAGCCAAATGTAGGGATTCATGCTTCTAATCATAGCATATGCAGGATTATAACTCCAAGCCAAGCTATATAGGAAGTTCTAGACTACATAGTCAGAACCTGCCTCAAAAGAAAAAAACCCTAATAATAAGACTGTAGAAGTGTGGTTACATCTGTGCATAGACTGTAAGGCTCATGGGCGTAAAAGTGTGCCTCTTCTGCTCACATCTGTGTCCTCATCACCTAACAGAGGCCTGGCACAAAGTAGACACCCAATAAATATTTACTTAAGAATAAATGAGTGTCATGATGAAGCCCATTATTTGGGGGGAAAAGTAATTAGAAATGAATAAAATAAGTAATAAAGAACGAAAGGACTCTGGGATCTCCAGCCTGGGAGGACCTGGCCAGACCAGAAGGTGGGGGCGATGGCTATCTGGTAGGGGGTGATACAGGGCCCTGCCCCTGCCCGATGCCATCCTTCTTGCTTCGGCCCTGTGGTCTGTGGTCTGTCTAGGGTAATGAGTTTTGTGAGTTATTTTAAAGTGTTCCCTGGGAAAAAAGAAACGAAAGAGCTGTCTCTGTTAAATGTGGGGCAGGAAGAAGAAGGAAGGACAGTAGTGGCCGCACACAAGATGGATAGATGGGCATGCTGGCTAAACACACATTGATGAGTGGATTTATTTCTAGATAGACCAGAAGACAAATAGAGACACAAATAGATGTGCAGATAGACACACAGACTGGCATGGGTAGGCAGGCAGGGAGACAGTTCTGAAGACTGACTGACAGATAGGACAACTGACAGGCAGACTAATCAATAGACAGATAAATAGATGGACAGCTGATTTCTCAGAGAATGGATATACAGCTTGGTGTACAGAATGGAGCAGCAGGCTGTACTAGTGGCCTGCCCAACTGTCCTGCCTCACTTCCAGCATCTCCCTGCCAGTGGAACCCACTTCTGCTTGATGTTTGGAGTCCAAGTGCTTTGAAGAAGGTTGAACTCTTCCCTTGCCCCAAAGATGCATCCTAACTGCTCATTAGAGTATCCTTATACTTTTTGCTATGGACTTTTGCTAGGGACTAAGAATAGAACAATAAGCATGGCAAGATGGGACACACCTTTAATCCCAGTGTTTGGGAGGCACAGTCATGCAGATATATGTGAGTTCAAGGCCAGCCTGGTCTATATAGTGAAACCTTGTCCTCCAAAACAAACCAAAACACATACATAAAAATGGAATAATAAACTTCTGACTACTGAAGTATGGGAGGTTGTCAATTAGGGACTTTTTGAGAAACTCTACCTCAGTCTTAAAAATGGCCACTGGTCTAGGGCTGGGGCGTTAACTAGGTGGGTAAAGTACTTTGCATAGGCAGGAGGTCCTGAGTCTGGGGTCCTGGAACCACATACCGCAGTAGTGTCCATCAGAAATCACCAAGTTCTTATTTCTTGATAGGAGGCAGAAATCAGAGCATTCCCAGAAGCTCCCAGGCCAGCCAGCCTAACACATGGGCAAACAATGTGGAAGATACAGACCAGCATCCAAGGTTGCCCTCTGATGACTACATGTGCACTGTGGCATATGTCCCCATACCCACAGCGACAAACACACACACACACACACACACACACACACACACACACACACACACACACACACATTGTTTGAGGAGACACACGGGATAATTGAACCCTTTCTCTGTTTGGGGATTTTGTACTTTGCTATTTGAAGATATAATGTGTTGAACTGCTTCAGGCTTTTTGACATCCTGAGGCCAAAACTCAGGTTTGGCCTGAATTCTAAAGCTAGTGGGCAAAGAAGAGCAGAGGAGATATGTGAAAGAAATCTAGGTGCAGATGATATCTGTCGGCTACATTAATGAATTTGAGAATCTCTCTGTCCCCAAATATCTTGCTACATTAGAGAGCAATTTTCTTATTGTCTAAGACCCCTTTGGAAGTTCTATTTGTTATTTGTAGCCAAGAGCATTGTAATACAGCACAAAAGACCAACAAATTGGCAGAGAACAAAAAATGGAGAGATGGATGAGTGTAGAGGAAGACGTATGGAGGATGGCCAATGGTAGACTTACTAGAAGACTGACAATAACACACAGACATTATCAGACCCTTCACCCGACAAAGAGACAACCTACACAAATAGAGGACACAACCTACACAAATAGTGTAGCCACAGTGGATTAGATGAGCAGGAATATGGACTGGAACAGGGAGCCATAAATGGAAGGACTGACAGATGGAGACGTGGGGACTCATCCAGGCAACCTTCAGTCTGAGGAGGATTCTCCATGCGCCTTTACCTACCTCTGCACAATCCTTAATCACTGTCATTCTGTTTCGTGATGGGTCCTGTCTTAGTTAGGGTTTTACTGCTGTGAAGAGACAGCATGACCACAGCAACTCTTACAAAGAAAACATTTAATTGGGGTGACTCACAGTTTCAGAGGTTCGGTCTGTTAACATCATGACGGGGAGCATGGCGGCATGCAGGCACTCATGATGCTGGAGCCGAGAGTGCTACATCTTGACCAGAAGGCAGCAGGAAGTTGACTGACTGTCACACTGAGGGAAGTGTGAGCAAAAGAGACCTTAAAGCCCGTCCCCACAGTGACACAGCTCCTCCAACAAGGCCACACCTCCTAATAGTGTCACTCCCTTTGGGGCCATTTTCTTTCAAACCACTACAGATTCCTTGAGGATGGAAATCATCTGATCTACTTTCAGTGTCTCCCTTTAGACCAGTGCAGATCTGAGCATGCAGTAAGTGCTCACTACCTACTTGGGGAATGAATGGTTGTAGATGTAGGGCAGTAGGGACTGAAGGGAAGGGGGGGGCGCTAACAAGAGGAAGGTGAACAGAATGTTGCAGAGACAGTGGATGAACAGATACTTTGGCGAAGAAGTTGACAGACCTCATCAGGGAGGTAAATTGATAGCTGGATCATGTAGGTACCTCCATGTCAATTTCAGATGGGCAGATGAAGAAACAGGACGATAGTTTACAGATAAATCAAATATGGTGTGGGAGGATGAATATGCATAGATCACTAACAGGCAGGCAGATGTATTATGGATGGGTGGATGGATGGCCAGCCAGATGGTTAAATGGATCCGAGAACAGGTAGGAAAATAAGTGGGCAGGTGGACAAAGGCAAGCGCATAGTCAAACTGGCCACTGTAGATGTGCGGCTAGTTAGACCAATTAAAAAGCAAAAGGAGAGACATGTGACTGTACAGACTCACACACCGACAGAGAGAAACCAAGGAGCTGAGAGCTGGAAGGCTCGCCAGAACCCACAGATCCCGATGTTCATGTTTATCGCCTATTAAAGATTTCTATTAGCCATGCCATTTTCTTGTTTAGGAAAAATATCATTTTAGCTCCTCCTGTCTACCCTCATTCCTTTTCTGCGACTCTCTTCTCCTTCTGGCCCCCTCTGCCCCCTTCTCTGTCCTCATCTGTCTCTAAGTGTCCCCATAGCCGTGGCTCACATTCTGCCTTCCTCGACATTCAGATAGCATGCTATCCGAGGACAAGATCTGCCTCTGAGCAGGGCCTGGGTGTGGGGTGGTGGGTAGCATGAGAACATCTGTCTACCCTCTGACCCCCTTCTGGCCACCCCAGGTAGTCCTCTCCACCTGGAAACTCAGTCCATGGTTCTCCTCCTGATTACCCCTCCTACCTTCTCCTGCCAAGAGTCCAAGAACCTAAGATTAGGTCCCTGAAGTAAGTTGCCATTGGGTCTGCCCAGTCCCGGGCTAGGGAGCTAAACTGGGAGCATGCTCACTTGCAGCATCCATGTCATGTGGAGGGGGTTGCAAGTTAGTGCTGGAGGAGATGGGCCCACCAGCCTCCCCACCTAAGCCTGCTGCCTCCATGTTTCTGCCTGCCTCAGCTCTTGAGCGGTTGTGAAAGTCCTCTGAGTCTCTAATTCAGTAATTAACTACTCGAGGCCCGGTGTGCACCAGGGACCCCCTGGCACTCCGAGGACAAATGGGAAGCCAGTTGAGTCCCATTTCTGGAGGTTTCTTCCTTCTCTTCTCTACATGGATCCTGCTTGGAATGTCTCTGCTTCTCTTAGATGATCCGTCAAGGAATGTTCAGGCAAAAGTCTCCATGCAGCCAGGCTCCCCAGCCCTTCCCAGCCCTCCCTCTAGCTGCCGGGAGTCTAGCAGCTCCCAGCTCCTACAGACATCAAGAGAACTGGTTTTTTAAGTAGGTCACTTCCAAGGACCATCTCAGGAGGCCATCCCAAGATGATTCTCAAGTGCCCTGATTCCCTTCGCAGGGTCTGTCAAGGACCAGGGACTGGCAGAGAAGACTTCACAAGGATGCAGGTAGAAGACACCCACCCCACCCAGCCCCGCCCGTGAGCGCCGCAGGTCTCATCTTTGCCCCTGTCTGCTGGCTGCTGTTTCTCCCAGCTGTGCTGTTCCGGTAAGGCCTCCTGTCACGCTGGATCAGTGTGGCATTCGAAGCTCTGCCCCGCACGGTTCCAGCTCTGCCATTTCTATCCCCACAGCTGTCCGGGTACCTTTACTCCACCTCTTCCTAGCTGTGTGAACACAAGTAGACTGCGTAACTCTCTGTACCCCATTTCCTCATCTGCAAAATAAGGCACAGCCCTTCCAGAATTGTCGAGGGGACTGAAGTCGTGTGAGTAGGGCACTTAGAACAACCCAACAGACGCCTGTAACATGAAAGTTAGTTGCTTTTCTGTTGTGTTCTGCTCTGTGGATTTGGGGTCTCAAGTTCAGAGAAGGGAGCCATTGGTACTGAGTGGCTGGTTTGTGCTAAGGATCCTACTGTGGTGTCATTGGAAAAACCCTGGAGAGAGAGGGGTGTGGAAGTAGAAAATGCTGGGTTGACCTGTGCCTGCTGTGGTTCCAGACCTGGCACCGCCCTTCTGGCTGGAGGACTGGCGCCTGGCGTTTGGACTTTGCAACTCAGATGTGAAGTTGCCTTGGCCAAAAGCCATTTGAGCATGAGGAACGTGTTCTCAGAGTGGTCACAGCCTTTGACAGACAGGGTGCTGAAATCTCACTGCCATGGACCCTGCCTCCCGTCGGCTGAAATCAATCCCCTGTTCTCACAGTGTGGTTTGGGGGCTCCAGGGGGAGGGGTCAGTTGAGTCCAGGAGAGCAACAGTCACCAGATTAATGACTCACCTGGGGTCAGGAAGTCCAGGGCCACCTGGAGATGAATTATCTGGTTAAGAAGCCATGACCGGGTGGATCAATGGAGCTGGGGTTTTGTGGTTTATTACCACACTGTGCCCCTGGGGCTGGGGCTCCCAGGAACACCTGCCTTAGAGCCCATGAGGATTGCTGACTTTCTCAGAAGTGCCCAGCCCTAGGTCTCTGAGTATTCAGGGAGCTCAGAGCCTGTCTGGGGAGATACAAGCCCTCCAGGATCAGTTGCTAGATGGGGATTAATATGAAGAAAGCCCTTGGGTGAATACAAGAAGGAATCAGGCCTGGACCCTGGCACAGTGGCGCCAGAACCACCTCTCAGCTGTTTCCCAAGTTGGGGCTGGAAGGCTCAGCCTCTACCCCACACAGACAGGACATGGGATGTGGCGGCCACAAGAAGCAGGAGTCATCTTGGGCAAGGCCACTCTCTTTAGCCGAAGCTATTCTCCTGTGGAAGCACCATTGGTCCACTACTCCCAACAACTGAGGATAAGGACCCTCAGGAAAGGCATCTGGGAGAGCTGTGAATGCACCCCACAATCACCTTCCAGAACTGGGGAGAACAGGGCAGGTGTAGGAAGACTTCCATCAGAGACATTGCCTGGGCTGATTCCAGAGGAAGGAGGGATGATTATGCAGGCTAACAGTCAGGAGCAGGGCACACAGGGAACAGAACTTTCCAACAACAGGATCACGTGTGCTAAAACCCAGAGGCCCAGGTGTCACCGAAGAGGGGTGCAGCTGGGTACAAAGATCTGCTGCTCTGCTCCGCTAAAGAGCGTGAGTTTCTAATTAAGGGGATTTTAGAAGAAGTATGGCATTGTAATTGCAAGTCGTGCCTTAGAATAGTTTCTGTAGCTGTTTCCTAGATTACTCAACCATGCTCTGCCTCAATTCCCTTACCTGTAAAATAGAGGGAGTGCCAATGTTTCTGCATGACGTCATAGTAGAAGCACAAACGCAGTAAGCAAGAAGCAGAGTCCAGGAGGGACAGGGTACACCATTCAAGGCGCATCCCTTGTTTACCTACTTCCTCCAGTGAGGTCTGGCCTCCTAATGTCTACCCTCTCCCAATAATGTTAGCGAATTATGACTCTAGTGGAGGAGCAGGGCAAAGCTCCATAATGAAACCTCTGAGTGTCGAGTTGGGGATTAAGCCTCCAGTACATGAGCCTTTGGGGGAGATGCTTCACATACAAACCGGCACTATCCCAGACTGGACTGAGAGAGCAGGGGACAGCTGGTGCTAACAGGTACTGGACAAAGATGTGACAAGGCGAAGTACCAGAAAAGGTCGACTCAGAAAGTTTTAAGAGGCACCATTCACAGGACTTGGTGATAGCTTGGGTGAAGGACATGATGAGCAAGATGACATTCTTAGTGACCCCCAGTTTGTATCTTGGGTGACTGACTGACTCCAGGCAGGGCGAAGGGTTGAGTTCACCCATGTGGGATGAAGCTGAGGTTTGTGAGGAGCTTCTTGAGGGAATGCTTTGAGGGTTCATTGTTCACTTCTGAGCTCTGAAGGGAGGCGAAGTGTGTTTGTATCTGGGGGTGCAGGGCAGCTGTGGACCTGGGTGTGATCAGGAGGGAATTGTGGCCAATGCCATCATCCCATGGAGTAGGCAAGAGAGATAGAAGAGTCTCTGGGGAGAGAAGGAAACAGAGATGCTGCTGACTGAGACCAGTGGAAGGAGAGGTACCGGCCGTCACAGCTTAGATGCCGGGCACGAGACGGGGGAGGGGCTTGTGGACCGTAAAGATCCACTCTGTTAGTGAGTGCATTTGTCCTCATTTTCAAAATAGGGATGAAGACTGTTTGAGGAAAATGTAAACATATAGAAGTCGAGGTAAGGTCCCCGCAAAGGCCAGGCTCACCTGCAGGCTGTGCTGTCTCCCAGGTCACCACCCTGCCACGGTTAGTGCACTAGTGTGTGGGAAGCAGAGGAAGACCTGGGTGACTGTGTAAGGGACAGATAAAATCCTGAGTGCATACATATTTCTGATATGCGCACAGCCGTGTCAAGGACCCCAGTGCCTCAGACCAGTAGAAATGGCAAAGTGTGTCCAGGTCTGAGTGTGGATGTTGATTGACAATGCGCACAGGAAGCATGACCTGAGCTTCCTCCTGGGTGTTTGCAGCCTGAGGCTGCAGCGCCCTACAGAGACCTCCCACTGAGATGCGACAAGCCCTCCTCCTGTGCTGGATAACAAATCCAGCCCCGAGTTTCCCGTTAGGTAGTGGGTGTGCTCCACCAGACTGAGCACAACTCACCCAATGCCAGTTTTTCTGTGTGCCTATATCATTTCTTCACTGTCATTTCTTCATTCTGGCATCACCCTAGTCAGGTTTCCAGGACCACATGGCAGGATGTGTCACTAGTGGACGTGAAAACTGGTGTGCAAATAGAAGACACCAGTTTTTCTGTGTGCCTATATCATTTCTTCACTGTCATTTCTTCATCTGGCATCACCCTAGTCAGGTTTCCAGGACCACATGGCAGGATGTGGCACTAGTGGACGTGAAAACTGGTGTGCAAATAGAAGATGTACCTTATAAATCACTCAGTGCTTGAAATCCGTCCCTCGGCATCCGTTAGGATCCTTTCCCTGACATCAGGCTGCAGCCTCCATGTATTGGTGTTCTGTTGCCGCTTTTTTCTAAATCCCCAACTACAGTTTTAACATGTGACCTCCACACAAGCAACTGAACTCTGCACTCAGGGATGAGCTCTGCTTAAAGCATTTGCTGCTGTTCAAACCTAAGTCAGGTTTTTTAGACCTTGATGTGACTCAGAACCTTGGAATAATTCCCATGCAGGTTCCTGGGTTCCACTCCCATGCAGATTCCTGGGCCCCACTCCCATGCAGGTTCCCAGGCCCCACTCCCATGTAGATTCCTGTGCCCCACTCCCATGCAGGTTCCCACCTCCCACTCCCGTGCAGATTCCCAGGTCCCACTCCCATGCAGATTCCTGGACCCCACTCCCATGCAGGTTCCTGGGCCCCACTCCCATGCACATTCCCAGGTCCCACTCCCATGCAGATTCCCGGGCCCCACTCCCGTGCAGATTCCCAGGTCCCACTCCCATGCAGGTTCCTGGGGCCCCACTCCCATGCAGGTTCCCGGGCCCCACTCCCATACAGGTTCCCGGGCCCCACTCCCGTGCAGATTCCCAGGTCCATTCTCACAGTCTCTCAAGAGACTTATGCCCAAGATGGGGCTAAAAGCACATGATTCTACAACATATTAAGATATAATTGGTGTGCAACAAACTGCATGAATGTGAAGTTCACAATTCCGTGGTTGGAGGTGAACACACCTGTGAAACCAATGCTACAATCAAGATGATAAGCGTTCTCAGCCCACACCCAGCTCATGTTTCATTCATGGTCCTTTCTCCCTCAGTATTCAACTCCACCTCCAGGCACCAGAGAGCCTGCTTCTTTTCTTTTTCAAGATTTAAACTTTTTATTGCATTCACTTATTATTTATTTATTGGGGGAGGGCTGTGCCACTGCACACCAGTGGAGGTCAGAGGATAATCCGAGGAACTTGTCTTTCTCCTCCTACCACATGGATCCTGGGATGGAACTCATGGTGTTGGGCTTGGCAACATGTGCCTTCACCAGCTGCGCCATCGCTCTGGACCAAGATTTTGTTTAATTTTTAAAAGTGATGTGTGTGTGTGTGTGTGTGTGTGTGCGCGCGCGCATGCACAACAGTATGTATGTGGAGATTAAAGGACAACTTTCAAGAGTCACCTGCAGTGCAGGTGTGTAAGTGCAGTGCGCAGTGTAGGCCTGCAGTGCAGGTGTGTAAGTACAGTGTTCAGGGCAGGTGTGCAATGCAGGTGTGTAAGTGCAGTGTTCAGGGCAGGTGTGCAGTACAGGTGTGTAAATGCAGTGCTCGGCAGATGTGCAGTGCTCGGCAGATGTGCAGTGCCCAGTGCAGGCCTGCAGTGCAGGTGTGTAAGTACAGTGTTCAGGGCAGGTGTGCAGTGCAGGTGTGTAAGTGCAGTGTTCAGGGCAGGTGTGTAAGTGTGATGCTCACAGAGGCCAGAAGAGAGTCTCTGATTCCCTGGAGCTGGAGTTACTGGCAGTTGTGAACCACCCAACATGGGTGCTGGGAGCTGAATTTTCATCTTTTTAAAAAAAAAAAAAGATTTATTTATGTATATGAGTGCTCTGTTTTCCCGTGAGAGCATCAGATCCCATTACAGATGGCTGTGAACCACCACCGTGGGTGCTGGGGATTGAATTCAGGACCTCTGGAAGAGCAAGCAGTACCCTTAACCACTGAGCCATCTCTCCAGCAGCTAGAGCAGCAGATGATCTTAACCCCTCTGCAGCTCCCGAACCTGTTTCATTCACTGTAGATTCATTTGCAGTTTCTAGAATTGTATGTAGGTGGAATGATAAGATAAGTGTTATTTACTCTGTCTGGATCATCTCACACATCACAGCTACACCGGAATTCTTCAGCAACATCACACCTGACAACATCACACCTGACAACATCACACCTGACAATATCACACCTGACAATATCACACCTGACAACATCACACCTGACAACATCAC